ACAGACAGACAGACAGACAGACAGACAGACAGACAGACAGACAGACAGACAGACAGACAGACAGACAGACAGACAGACAGACAGACAGACAGACAGACAGACAGACAGACAGACAGACAGACAGACAGACAGACAGACAGACAGACAGACAGACAGACAGACAGACAGACAGACAGACAGACAGACAGACAGACAGACAGACAGACAGACAGACAGACAGACAGACAGACAGACAGACAGACAGACAGACAGACAGACAGACAGACAGACAGACAGACAGACAGACAGACAGACAGACAGACAGACAGACAGACAGACAGACAGACAGACAGACAGACAGACAGACAGACAGACAGACAGACAGACAGACAGGAGGGACCCATCAGAATGGATAAAATTGGAGAAAAAACAAAAATGAAGAAAAAGAAAAAACCAAAAAAAATATGAAGAACGACGGCAAGACGCCAGACATTGAAAACGGAGGAGCGAACGTGTTCGCAAGGAGTGAGATATTGCAGAGATCACCAGTGTCGAACCTGGGGGCCACTGCGAGTTCCAGCTGCAGCAGTAAGTCTCAAGAAGAGCAGCCAGGCGTTGAGCAGATATTCACACCGATATCCAGCAGTAGCAAATCTCAAGAACTGCAGCTCGGGAGAACCAAAATGACGGAGGTCAGGAGGAAGATCGATGATCTCTATGTGTTCGTGAAGGATAAAAACAACGTACACAAAGAGATCAAGCAACTTGTGACCGGTATCAAATCCGGCATAACAGTGGCAGATCGGGAATGTCAAGAGTGGAGAAAAAGAGCCGAAAATGCCGAAAAGGCTCTGCTGGAGGCCAAGGAGAGCATAAGACTGGCTCAAGCACATGAGACGCCGAAGGGACCCACAAATCCACGTCCTGAAAAGAGAGATAGGGACACGCCAGGAGATGAGGAGGAGCCCAAAAAACGCAGGGACGATGAGGAAGGCATCAAGGAGATGGGAGAAAATGGTGCGTGGCGTGAAGTCGAGAACCAGAAGGAGAGGAAGAAAAAACAGAAGGAAGATGAAGTGAGGAAGAAGGAAGAGGAAGCGAGGAAGAAGAAAGAGAAGAAGAAGTAAGACAGGAAGAATAAGAAGAAGCCTAGGCCTCGTAGGGAGAGAAGCAAGGGTGACGCTCTGGTTGTTGAGGCGAAGGACAAAACGTCCTACGCAGCACTTCTCCGGAAAGTGAGAGAGGATCCGGAGTTGAAACAACTAGGCGAGAACGTGGTGAAAACCAGGCGAACCCAGAAAGGCGAGATGCTATTCGAGCTGAAAAGGGACCCTACGGTTAAGAGCGCAGCTTTTAAGGAGCTCGTCGAAAAATCTCTTGGCGAGACGGCGAACGTAAGAGCCTTATCCCAGGAGTCAGTGGTCGAGTGCAGGGATCTGGACGAGATCACAACAGAAGACGAGTTGAAAAGTGCGCTGAAGGTGCAATGCAACCTGGGAGACGTACCGACAGACAGACAGACAGTCAAAGTTTGCCAAGAAATGCATGATTCTGCAAGCGATCTGTTCATGATGTAAACGAAGTGCGCCGTTCGTGACTACCGGGACCATAAACGGGGAGATCTACCTCAAGTAGTGTTTTTCCGTGACACAATTTGATGTGAGACACCCTTTAAGCCCCTTTACATTCCTGAGTTGGTGGTGGCATCATTTGCTAACCATGTTTGGATTGTAAAATATGGCCTCTCGCTATCTTGAATATCGTCGTAATGATACGAACTTCAAAATTTTGCAAGGTATGGGAGTGAAATCCTAAAATGCTTCTTGCTCTTAAAGAAAGCTTTTATTATTTTTTGTATGTATGCCCAAACTCGGAATAAATTAACTATTTCTTGAAATTTTCACAGATCATTAAACAATTACCGAACAAATACCGAACAGCAGCAGCCTGGTAGTGAATGCATCAAATCATGTACAGTTAACAGAACTGGCAGTTCAATTTAATACTCTGGAAAGCTTATCATAATAATAAAAATAAAAGAAAAAAATCATGCCGCAAAGCCGGCTGTACTGACATCAAATCGATTCTTGGATGCAGCTTTTATCTCACAGTAAGCTCTCACGACTCACATCTTTTCTGAATCCGGTTTAATGAACAATTATGCATACGGCTGCTCAAAAGAGTGAACAGCAACTTGCTGATTGCTACGAGGAATTTCCTTTTTTCCGGATTGCTTTGATTGCATTAAGGTTCAATTTACTTTGATGCTTTTTCGAAAAATTCAAAAGCAGTTTATTTCGACGCATTATTTCAGATTGCTAAAAGCTCGCGTCATTTTGTGTAGAATAGCAAAAGGAATCGAATAGTGCGAGCATTTTGCAATCTGAACTAATGCGTCGAAAAAAACTGCTCTTCAATTTTTCGAATAAGCATCAAAGTAAATTGAACCTTAAACGTTACATGATAATACGTTCGCATGCTCGTATCTCGTGACACAAAGGAGAATGATTCTAGATTCTGTGGACACGAGTCACAAAAGAAGCAAGGCTTTCGTGTCCCATTTATAGTTTCTCCCTTCAATGCACTGCCGATTACCAATACCGTTCCTCTTACTCAAAGAAAGCTCACATGCCGGTGTTTGACAACCATGCTTCGTTGGAGTTCTGATTATGTTTACGTGGAAGAGACGATTCGTTTAGATTGGCTCAGCTGGAAGAATATCATTCTTCCGACTAAGCCACCTGCATTTGCATTTCTTAACAATTGAATTCAATGTTCATTTCACCAAGAACGACCCTCCACCCGACAAGTAGCATAAATAATGCCGACACATGGAAGGCAATGTCAATTATAACAAAATGAAAAATATGATCTAAATTCTATCTAAATACTTAAAGGTGTTGATGCAAATATTGACGCAAAATCAAAACAGTTTGATTCCATGTTGCAATATTTCCCCTCATTATCCCCTTCTGTTTAACTACAGCAGATGGGGCTTTTTCCTCGGCAACTTTTGTCGAGGTGGTTGTGATTTGACATCGCATACAACAATAAAATTGAGGAGCGACCCCCCGAAACTATTGTTGAACATATCGACACGAATATGTTGATGGAAATATTGACGAAACTTCTGTCGTTTGGGGCATCCTCTTTATTATTGTGTAGAAACTCTCAGAACTGGTTTTCATTGGGTTGGATTCAATTAGTAAATATTTTCAGGCAAGCTCTATTCTGACTTCCCACAAAGCCCAGTAAAATATAACCGAACCAGAAAGATTCCATTGCATATGAAACAGTCCCAGCATGCCAGCACCCAGCAGGCTAAAGAGGCTGAATCCAACCATAATAAAAAAATACCATACCCGAACGATAACCCAAATGATAGAACTATTCCACAAATGGTTTGGATGTTAAGGAAAATATCCATATAAATTTTACTAGGGAATTCAGCCTCTTCAAGCAAGACAAGGTCATGGCCATTGGCGCCAAGTTACAGAGGGGCACGGCACTTCAGAAATTAAAAAAACTACAAGGGACAGCCCTATGGGGTTGTACGCAATGGTGACGTAGGACTACGTGGTCTTATATCTTTGGTTTTGTGTAGGAATAGGAACTTGAGCGGGGTTCTCTTTGTTTATACTCTTTAGTATGACGCGCTTAACATAGATGGTCCACAGCGACTCACGAAGAGCTACTGATTCCGATCAATAGCGGTGCGACTTCTTCTTCCTTCTATGGACGCTCATGTGTGCTGCAGCTTGCTGCTTGTGTATTGGAGAACACCACCACTCACCATTGCGTTTGGTGAGACCGAATGGAATTCAACTTTGAAATCTGTGTTAGGGAAATCGGTGATAATTTTAATTATCATAACAACAGTTGCACATTCGTGCAATTTTCAACGGTGAAACTTTGAAAAATGATAAAATCTTAAATTTAATAGATGCGTAGAAATATTTCTGATCGATTGGTGATAAAATTATTGAAATTGATCCAGGGGCAGCTGAGTCATTAACGTTCAAAATCTTTCATAATTTTGTTACATTTCCATTTTCGGTTTTCACAAAGTGTACCCTCATATAGAAATAACAGACGTAGTCCTACGTCAAAAATTGCCTTAAACTGTTCACAAAAAAACATAACTGTCTATCTGTAGAAGCTGCTATCATAGAGGTAACTCTAAGACTAGTAGGTCCCGAAGAAACGTGCTCACCTTTTTGGCTCAGCTCTGATATTCTCTTCGGTCCCAAGCTTATCGATTCACCCCTCGAAACATAGGAAAATCCACTAGCCCCTCATTTTATCTGTCAAACTATCATAGCGAATCAAAACAAACATTGTGTAGTACTAGAATTTTGACTAGAATGGGATACGTTAATCGTTTGCTTGGGACCAATAGGCTAGCCAAGTAGTGAGCCAATTTAAAATCGTTAGTTTCTTATTGATTGTTGCTGCTATTGGCGATCTAACGATAACGCCCCATAACGTGGGTAGATCACCTTTTCGTGGTACGTTACGGGATGTAAGATCTACCACTGGTTCCTAATTTTGACTACTTCAAACTAGGGGAACAGAATTTTTCAGTAATCATAGTAACACATGTTAATTTTTATGCCTTGTTGATAGTGACAAGACTCAGATTTATCCACCGAGGATGATCTTGAAACAAGGTAAAATGAGTTAGTTAGTCTTCATCTATGTGATTCCTAATATTCTATTCGTTGTTCCATAGTTTGAAGTGATTAAGACTAGGGTTGCTAAGGAATCCAATTTTGACTGAAAAAGGGGCGCGCTTTTGGAGGGTGTTCTAGCGAAGGGTATAAATAGCGGGACCTTTCAATAAGAATCGATTCCTTGCTATGAAGGCAAGAATGACAACTGTATCAAAACCGAATGCTTCATCATTTCTCAATAGTGATGGAGTAATGCGACATGCACTAAACTATGGACACGGGATATAGGGTAAATGACGGTTTCGGCAATACCTTATTCTATTATCGTCAGAGGGTAAACAACATCCTTGAAAGCTTAAGTTTTGGCCAAGTTAAGTCAGTCCATCCATCAGGTCATGGCAATTCTAATTATATCAAAATTTCTTCAGTCCATCCATCAGGTCATGGCAATTCTAACTATTTCAAAATTTCTTTAATCCATCAATCAGGTCATGGTAATTCTAACTATTTCAAAGTTCCTTCAGTCCATCCTTAAGGTCATAGTAATTCTAACTATTCCAAAATTTCTTCAGTCCATCCATCAGGTCATGGCAATTCTAATTATTTCAAAATTTCTTTAGTCCATCCTTAAAGTCATGGAAATTCTAACTATTTCAAAATTTCTTCAGTCTATCCATCAGGTCATGACAATTCTAACTATTTCAAAAATTTCCTCCGTCCATCCATCAGATCATGGCAATTCTAACTATTTCAAAAGTCCTCCAGTCCATCCTTAAGGTCATAGTAATTCTAACTATTTCAAACTTTCTTCAGTCCATCCATCAGGTCATGGCAATTCTAATTATTTTAAAATTTCTTCAGTCTATCCATCAGGTCATGGCAATACTAACTATTTCAAAATTTCTTCAGTCCATTCATCAGGTCATGGTAATTCTTACTATTTCTAAATTTCTTCAGTCCATCCATCTGGTCATGGCAATTCTAATTATTTCAAAATTTCTTTAATCCATCAATCAGGTCATGGTAATTCTAACTATTTCAAAGTTCCTTCAGTCCATCCTTAAGGTCATGGCAATTCTAATTATTTCAAAATTTCTTTAGTCCATCCTTAAAGTCATGGCAATTCTAACTATTTCAAAAGTCCTCCAGTCCATCCTTAAGGTCATAGTAATTCTAACTATTTCAAACTTTCTTCAGTCCATCCATCAGGTCATGGCAATTCTAATTATTTTAAAATTTCTTCAGTCCATCCATCAGGTCATGGCAATACTAACTATTTCAAAATTTCTTCAGTCCATTCATCAGGTCATGGTAATTCTTACTATTTCTAAATTTCTTCAGTCCATCCATCAGGTCATGGCAATTCTAATTATTTTAAAATTTCTTCAGTCCATCCATCAGGTCATGGCAATACTAACTATTTCAAAATTTCTTCAGTCCATTCATCAGGTCATAGTAATTCTAACTATTTCAAACTTTCTTCAGTCCATCCATCAGGTCATGGCAATTCTAATTATTTTAAAATTTCTTCAGTCCATCCATCAGGTCATGGCAATACTAATTATTTCAAAATTGTTTTAGTCCATCCTTAAAGTCATGGCAATTCTAACTATTTCAAAATTTCTTCAGTCCATCCATCAGGTCATGGTAATTCTAATTATTTCAAAATTTCTTCAGTCCATCCATCAGGTCATGGCAATTCTAACTATTTCTAAATTTCTTCAGTCTATCCATCAGGTCATGACAATTCTAACTATTTCAAAAATTTCCTCCGTCCATCCATCAGATCATGGCAATTCTAACTATTTCAAAAGTTCGTTGCTCAACGAAAAGTACGTTTGATTGAGCTATATTTCGCGTCTGTTATGACTTAAATTTATCAAATTGACGCTCGTATATGTCACTCTTAGAGCACCTAAATTCACATAAATTTTTCTAAGCGTGTAGCTCCCGCCAGTTTGTAACAAATGATCTATTTTCAAAACTAATTTGCCCCCCAATAATTTACTGAAATTGGCGCTTCTGGTCAGGGCCAACTGTGCTAGTGACGGTAGCATAATAAACTGCCTGTTGTGATATAATGACACCATTGCCTCGTCTCCATTTTTCCCATAGATCTAGGTGTTTGCAAAGTGAAAGATAATTGGAAATAATACAATCCGGCATTCAACATGCAACTGGGCGCAGGTGGTTTCTAACCGTGTCTGAGCAGCAGATAGAGCTGCAAATCGTTTCTATTTGGAGACCATGGACAGGATGTCATTATCGCGTAGGCATCATGGCACATTCGTGACAGCGTGACCACACAGCAAAACAAATAATTTGGGCCCGGGACATGGAGGCTGCTGTCAAACTCTGTTGTTGAAATATATCTCTTAATCAAGTTTGTGTAGTTGTTTTGGAGTTATCAAATTTGAATAATTATTTTAGCACGATCATCGTATGTTTCTTAAATGCAAATTTAATAGTGCTTACAATCATAGCAGGTAAAAAGCATCTTTTACTAAAATAGAAAACACCGTCACCATTTTGTTGACATTCTGAAGGACCAATTCCATAATTTTAATGCATCATTGCAGTCTTGCTTAGGCGCTTTGGGAAATAAATAATTCAAAATTTAATGAACACAGCCAAAAACTAATGATGATGCACTAAATTCAATGTCGTTCTCTAGCAGAGCACAATGACAAGAACATATTAAGATATCGAAGGTCTCAATTTTTTTTTCCTGTTCCAAAATGGCCTAAATTTTAGCAAAAAATGTGAATCATTGTCCATAACAAACAATTATGCAAAGTTTGATGCAAATCGGCGAAGGTCGAGTTTTTTCCGATTCGTCATTTGGCGTGGAACTGCTCAGCTGTGCAATCCAAGAGAAAGAGACAATAATCGGATCCAATTATCGGATCTTCATCAGGAGGATAAACTCAAATCTAATTAGTTACTTAGTTCGTTAGAAGCGGTGCCCACATGGCAACTGCCGTTTAGAGACCATTCGGAAAACTGAGTACAATGCACAGTGGTCCAGGCGAGTAGGCTATCGTACAACAATGTATTTTATGAATTGGTATGATATCAAAAGATATGCCGAGAAGGGGGACTACATGAGAATTTTCAATAATTTCGTTTAAAAAATACGAAATAGTTTGGGTACGCAACGGTTATGAATGAATATGAATATGATATGGAACAACCCCCCCACTGTCGGTAGACTGTGGACAGCGAGTCGACTTGATCAAGTTTAATAACCTCTAATTGTACTCAACCTGCCATTGTGTGAAGGGCCCAAAACAGTTTGGGTGAATCCGTGGGCAACATCGCCAACGTGCATCCACGGGATAGATGAGAATCTCCTTCTAACAACAGGATCATACCACCGGTCCCAATGAGTGGGAAGAATAGCCCACTCTATTGAAATGAAACGTTAAAGACAGGAAGTTGGCATTTCCACCCTCCCCATTATTTCGCTTCTATCGGGGGCCCTGGTGGACCGTCCCGTACCCAGCATATAATGTTTCATTTAATAATGGAACGAAAGTTAAGTGAAAAATAAAAGAAAGATCTCACCCGATATGTTGCAAAGGAATCCATGACATCACGACGATTTCGAAGAGCTCCCATAGATATGCTACTGCTACTTCTTCAACCGGTGTTAAAAACAGCAGCGTAAACTCCCATTAACCACGAAACACACTCTAACTGCACCAACTAGAGGGATCCCAGCAGAGAAAAAAAGGACTGCGTCCACTTTCCATCACCAATCACTCGCGACACAACGGTATCAGTTCGCCAGTACACGACACCCGCTCGGGCCACGGCACACTTCGATTGCATTTCTGAAACACAACTTCAACGCACAAACACGGCGACGACAACATTCGACAAGCACCTTTCGTCCGGGAACCGGAACGCCAGCACGCAGCAAAAGAAGAAAAAATGCACACACTGAACACGGCATGAGCTGAACCGCTAACGTTTAAAGCCAAACTAGGAATGGGCGATGTCGATGCGATTTTTACAGAATCGATTTTTTTGCCTCGAAAAATCGATTTTTTTCATCCGATCTTTTTCTGTTCGATGTTTGACAGAATCGATTTTTCAAAGTTGATATCGATTTTTTACTCATTTAAACTTTTTTATAAAGCATTAAAAAAACAAAACGCCTAAATTGCCAAAGGAGAAAATAAAATCGCCGAACTCTTTTTATGTTGTTGTTGATTCACGGAGAACAAATTCGTTAAGTTAAGATAACAATCCTAATGTGGACCGTACACGATTGCTTTTATTGACAATAATCGTATTGTCAATACATTTTATATTGACGTCAATACATCGGTATTGACAATATTTCTGTATTCACATCATCAATATTATTGTCAATACTTGTAAGTATTGACAATATTTCTTACCGTGTGGGGTTCGCTTAATAGTTACTTTCACATGGAAAAATATTGTTGTTTGAAAGAAACCTATAGATATTCCAACATTAATTTGATCGTCAACTCAATAATATCTACCTAAAAGATTCAACTGTTCATCTTATACTCAATTCAACTATAACTTTGATCAATTCGACTGTGAGCATGCATAAGGGCCTATACGCGATGATCGATTCTCTTCATCGATTTTCTCTTTTGTTAATAACTCGCTAGATTTAACGTTTCTCGTTGCGTTTGCTGTTGCTTTTGATAGCCAATACAACCTGTTACTACTCTGCATTGAACAAATTCTAGAAAATTGTTTCGCCTAGCTGTAGCAATGCAAAGAGAAAATCGATGAAGAGAATCGATCATCGCGTATTCGCCCTTATGAATGCTCACTGTCGAATTATAACAACTGTCAAATCGACAGTGAGCATGCATAAGGGCCTATACGCGATGATCGATTCTCTTCGTCGATTTTCTCTTTTGTTAATAACTCGCTAGATTTAACGTTTCTCGGTGCGTTTGCTGTTGCTTTTGATAGCCAATACAACCTGTTACTACTCTGCATTGAACAAATTCTAGAAAATTGTTTCGATTAGCTGTAGCAATGCAAAGAGAAAATCTATGAAGAGAATCGATCATCGCGTATTCGCCCTTATGCATGCTCACTGTCGAAATGTAATTTAATTGTATAATTTGGTTTCAAATGATCATCATAAATCCACATACTTTTACCTTGTGATGCGTAGAGCAGGCAATAAGATAGCTGGCTCTCACGCAGATGAACACGGTTCAACTCTTAGTTCACCTTTTTTATGATTTTGCAGTTGTGTTTTTGAGATCGATAAAGAAGCAAAACATTAAGGAAGTTTGTCGATAATGAAGAGCAGTTCGTTTAATAAACATTGTAAAATTTTGCTTCCCTAACAATAGTT